ATCACCATGAGATGTGTAGCCTGCCTCACCAGTCCACACAGTGCGACTCACACCCATACATGTGAGCACTGGCTTTGGGGTCCAGCCTCCCCATCACAGCCTCTCTTGGTCCCTAGGTCAGCCCTCCTCCACGCTGGCTTCCGGGTCTCGCTCTCCCATGCCTGTAAGAACGCTGTGAAGACAGATGCCCCTGCCTCAGCCCTCTGGGACATCATGCGCTGCTGGGTGAGGGCTGGTCGGACCAGATGGGGGTGGGAGGGAAGGGAATGGGTGGGCTCAGCATCCCCTGTCCTCTGACCTTTGTCTCCCAGGAGAAGGGGTGTCCGGTGAAACGGGAGCGGCTGTCGGAGACCAGCCCCGCCTTCCGCATTCTCAGTCTGGAGCCCAGGTAGGGATGCAGACACAGCGACCACAAGCATGGCCACTCACATATGTGCAGATGACATAGATACTCTTTACATAGACGATGCACCTTCTTCAAGTAAGATCCAGAATCCACCTTCGCCCATCACTTCTCCCCTGCCTCCTCTGCTCCCACCTTGGTCTGGCCCTATCACTGCTCACTTAGACCAGTGCAGTCACCTCCGCCCTGATCTCCCAGCTCCCCACCCCCAGTCTGTTCTCCCCACAGCACCCAGAGGCGCCTATGAGCACGTGAGTCAGATCATGCACCCACTTTCTGCTCAGAATTCTCTGGGGCTCCCTCCTCACTCAGTAGAAACAAAGTTCCACCTGCCAGCCCTGCCCCTTCTCCCTGTCAGCTTTCCCTCATTTATCCCTACTCTCTTCCCTCCCCTCCTTACTCAAACTTACCAGGCACAGCCCCACCAAAGGGCCTTTGCATGGGCTGTTCTCTACCTGGAGTGCCTGTCCCCAGGTTCCCTGCCCCCTATGACTCTTCCCTCACCTCCTTCAGGTATCCCTGCCTGCCCTGTCCCGCATTGGCCCCCTTCCCCCGTCTCTCCATCCCTCTACCTTTCTCTCTTCTCAAAACTCTTATCTCATGCTCTAACACGATAAGATTTGCTGATTTCTGATTTATCCCATTGTTTGTCTGTCTCATGCACCAGAATGTCAGCTTTACCAGTGGCAGACTTCAGGCACACAGTAGGCACTTGATAAATGTTTATTAAATGAATGAGAGAATCCTGAAACTGGCAGACACAGTTGTCCCAGGTCACATCGAGCTGCACTGAGGTGGGCAGGTCTCGTGGGCAGTTGGTTGTGCATATCCCCGTGGTGGCTGCCCCTCAGCCCCACCTGCCTTCCCCAGGCTGCAGGCCAACTTCACCATCCGGGATGATGCCAACCCCAGCTCTCGCCAGCGAGGACTCAAGCGCTTCCAGGCCAACCCTGAGGCCAACTGGGGCCCCCGGCCCCGTGCCCGGCCAGGGTGAGTGAGAGGGGTGGCAGTAGGGCTTGGCTGGCTGGGGGTGCAGGGGCCAGATGGGGTCCCAGCTGCTTATCTTCCTGTACAGGGGCAAGGCAGGGGGTGAAGCTATGGGGGACAGGCGCAGGCTGCTCCAGAATAAGCGAAAGGAACCAGCTGAGGACCTGGTCCAGCGGGCTGCCCGGCTTAAGACATTTCCTTGCAAGAAGTTCAAGGAGGTGAGGCCCCCACACACACTGTAGCACACATGGGTTCCCCTCCAAGCAACAGGGCAGGGCTAAGGGGCAGGCAGGGCTGGGAGAACTGGGGATGGGCAAGGGTCTGGGAGTGAGTTCTCCATCCAGGAAAGGAACCCCATGGAGGCTACCAAGCTCCAGGCCGGGGTTCACACCCACTATCCTCCCACCAGGGCACCTGTCAGCGGGGGAACCAATGCTGCTACTCCCACAGACCCCCAACACCCGAGGCCACTGCTGAAGCCACCCCCACTAACTGTCTACAGACCCTCAATCAGAACCCGCCTGGGCCTGGGGCCACCACTGGTCCAGGTGTCGACTGAACTAATAAAGAGACATCGCATTATCCTGACTATCATTTGCCGGAATGCAGAGGCTGCCTGTGGTCTTTCTGTTCATTTGTCTGTTTTAACTCCCTGGGGAAGCTCTGTGCATCTAGGGGTTGGTTTATTTCTGCCTGACTGAGTTTCTGTCTTGGGCATTGTGTCTGTATGAGGGGGTCGTCTGTCCCTCTGAAGCAAGAGGCACTTTGGGACACCCTGTTGCTGGTGCCTGTGGTTCCCTAGGTGGCCACGGGGCGGCAGCCGTGCGCTCGTGCCCGCGGGGGCCTCTCCCCTCCCATTACCCCCATCCCGCCAGCCCCTGCCAGTCCCCGGCCCAGTTGGTGGTCTCCCGGACACAGGCACGCGAGCAGGCTAGTGCCAGCAAGCCCCCTACGTGGCCTCACGCCGCCCCCTCCTCGATGCCTGGTTTCTCTGGCCCAGCTCCCCTCCGGGCCAGTGGCGGAAGTCAGACCGGAACCAGGCGCCTTGTGCATCCGCTCCAGACCAGGTGCTTCCTGCCCTGTGGCCCCTCGGGTGGGGTGCACATGGAGGCACCAGGCAGGCTGCTGCATCCTTCCCCCAAGGGCAGGCCTTAGCAGCATTAACGGAGAGGACTGGGGCAGAGTCCTCACCCTGCCATGTGGTAGCTGTGGGACCCCAAAGGTACCCTTTACTTTATTCCATCCACAAGAATAAAATGAACCTGATCCAAGAACCTGCCTTGTAGGGACATCAGAGTTCATTCAGCGTTTAGAACTGGACCTTTGATTCCCTGGGGCAGTGGGATGGTTGGTGATGGAGTACTGGTGTCACCTGGTTCCTGGGAGGATGGTGGTAGTGTTGGCACTGAGTGGCTGCTGAGGGCCTGCCTGGGGTCTCCTCCAGTCACCCAGATAGAAACAGGGCACAGTACGACTAACCCGGGTGAGAGAGTGCTGGGGATTTGGAACAGTCTTGTCACTGTTACCTAGCTGTACTCGGGGCCCCTCCTACGAGTCTCCCTCCATGTGGGTCTTGAGTTTCACCACCATCTAGGACATTTACCTAACACCTCTTTATCGTCATCCACCCTGAAGTGGCCTGGCTTGGAGTTGTGGGCCAGGGACCACCGAGGTGGGGCTATGTGGTCCTGTGACTTAGAGGACCAGGATTATAGGGGCACCTGTTGGAAGGTTCTGGCACCCTAGGAAGTCTCCCCCAGCTGTGGCCCTTCCTGTCACCCTCCTGGGCCTGGAAAGGTAGTATGGATAGCACAGTGGGGACCCAGGACACCTGCCCAGACTGGACACTGAAGATCAGATTATCAGAACTGCCCTCAGGGTGCCTCACTCGGGTGGGGGTGGCAGACAGGCCGGGAGGGGCCATGTAAAAAGAGGAACCAAGCAAGGGAAGGAGAGGAGGAGGAGGAGGAGGAGGGGGCCCCAGGTCACGAGGCCCCAGCAGGGCCGGAAAGGGCTCTCCACCCCATCAGCGCAGACACGGCTGGTGGTGGTCAAAGCTGCAGGCCAGATTCAAGCAACACAGGAGGCCACTGTTTTCCTGCCTCGGTTTCCCCTCTGTGTGCATCTGGGCACCTCACTCCCAGCTGTGCACTGGGACCAGGTCCTCAGAGGGCCAGGGTCCCTCCAGTGACGGAGGGGGGGGAGGAAGGTAAGGCCCTCAGGGGTGACAGCCAGTCCTGACCACAGTGGGCAGGGCCTGAGGCCGCTCTGAGATCCCCGCCTGCCTGTTTCCTCCGGGGTCAGCCCGGCTCCTTATCAGTCTCAGCCAGGCGGCCAGGCCCTTATCTGTGCTGGCCCAGCATCCTCCAGCCACTGAGCCCAGGGTGAGAGGGAGGAAACCAGGCCATAGGGGGCGGGGAGAAGGTGGGCTGGCCCAGAGCCGCTCACTTTCCCTCGAGGGACTCACGCTGCTTCTGCTACCTACCGCTGTTGAGGCCCCAAGGCGCCCGGGAGCCCAAGAAGAGGTGAAGCCCAGACAGGGCAGGGGCACAGAGTGAAGAGGCTGGATGGAGCAGGGCCACGGAGCCTGGCCTGAAGCCGGAACCACATCCTGGCCCTGACAGAGCCAGGGCACTCATCAGACAGTGGGACCAGCGCCGGGGTAAGAGGGGAGCGGCCTAAAGGTGGGGGATCCCCAATCCACCTACATTCATTCATTTGTTCCTGCCTTCATTCATTCATCTGCAGGAACCCACTAAATGAGAGTGGCCAGGCTAGCTTCCCCAGGGCCCAGCCAGGGAAGACGGGGCAGAGGGACGAGATGTCCTCAGGGCTGCCGGGACACTCCTAGCCATAAGGCCAAGAGTGAACAGACACATCTAAGCAGAGTGCAGAGATGGGGGTGGGGAGAGTGGGGGTCACCAGGGCCAGAAGGGGGATTGGGGCATGACTTTGTATTGGGCAGTGGGGTCGCATTTGGGGTCATAGTGTCAGTAGTGGGGTCACAGAGTTAGGGGACATTTTACTTAGGGGTGGTGGTCACTGGAGTGATGATGGAGAACGTTCAGAGTCTGACAGGGAAGCAACGGGAAGAGCCTCAGGGTCCTAGCTGAGGGCCATAGGGTCCACCTAGGCAGGAGAGGGGCGGTCAGTGGTCAGAGTCAATCATGGAGGAATTCCAAGGTCGCACAGTGTCAATGAAGGGCGTCAGGATCAGATTTGAAGGTTAGAGGTCATCCTGGGAGTCTCAGGGTCCGGCATAAGTTCCCTGCCTTACTCTCCACTCCAGGCTAAAGATAAGAGAGGATTCTGGAAGCAGGGAATTGCTCAGAGGCTGGGCAGCTGAGCCCCTCATGGGTCACATACTACTCAGAGACGGCACTGCTGGGCTCATTGCTGCACAACATCTCAGTGGGCACCTCCTGCCCTTGTATCAGATCCTCCTCCCATGTTCTGGCAGTTTCTGTGCCCACCCCTCCACCAGTCTTGGCCCCCACCACTATCTTGCCACCCCACCACTTTCCTTTCCATTTGAGGGCTCCGTTGGGCTAAGGGGGTATGTGGCATCTGATCCTCTTCCCCACTGGCTTGCTTCCCTTCCACAGGTGAGCACCCCCTCGGGGTCCATGTGCCCGCCCCAGGCCCAGGGAGAGGTGGGCCCCACCATGACTGAGAAGGCTGAAATGGTGTGTGTCCCCAGTCCAGTGCCTGCCCCACCCCCCAAGCCTGCCTCGCCTGGGCCCCCAAAGGTGGAGGAGTTGGGCCATGGAGGTGCCTCCTCCCCCAGGCTGCCCCCTGGGGTCCCAGTAATCAGTCTGGGCCACACCAGGCCCCCAGGGACAGCCATAACCACCACGGACCTGAGTGCCCTGCGGCCCCCACTGCTGCAACTCTCCACCCTGGGAAGTGCCCCGACCCCTCTGGCCCTGCATTACCATCCTCACCCCTTCCTCAACAGGTCAGTGGGGGGCTGGGGGCCTGGGGGCAATCCAGGGCCAGGGTCCTTGCCCACAAGGCATTAGTGACCCATGAACCCTTACAGCCTCTACATTGGGCCGGCAGGACCTTTTGGCATCTTCCCTAGCAGCCGACTGAAGCGGAGACCTAGCCACTGTGAGCTGGAGCTGGCTGAGGGTGAGTGTGGGTTTGTGTCTGCAAGGGGCCCACGTCTGTCCCACAGCTTTCCACAGGGAGAGGTGCTGCTGGTGCACACAGACACACACAGAACAGCCCACATGGGCTCAGCACTCACCTTACACCCAGGCACAGAACCACAGTCTCATACAATCACAGCCATCCAACAAGCCACAAAGAGCCCTTGCAAAGAGCATGCCACGGGGGCCACACAATGACAGCTCCACTCAAAAGCACAGCCACCCAGGAAGCAGCCACAGGACAACCACCATGCAAGAGACTTCCATGGGACCACAACCGCACAAAAGACAGTCACACAACCACAGCCACTTAGGACCATGGCCACACAAGAGTCAGCCACACAACCGCAGCCATGTCTGACACAGCCACATGGCAACGATCACACACACCACAGCCATTTAGACAGACCACGAGTCACACAGCCACCTGAGACACGGACAGGACCACGATCACAAAAAGAATACCTCTCAGGCCCACGAACATCCCGGGCCACACACAGGGGCCCATTAGAATGAGGACTACAGGGAAAGTTTCCCAGACTGGCAGCCACAAAGAAACATTTCCTTAAGGAACCTCAGCCAGTGACATAAAGGTACAGACAGAGGGTACAGAGGCCCCAGTTGTCCTTGTCTAGATGGCTGAGGGTGGGGGGCGTCCAGGGTTGCTAAGAGGCAGGGGAGCCACACGTGGATCCCTTAGGTGGAGAAAGCTCCAGCTCACTGCCTGGGCGGAAGGGTGCTGGGTGCCTGAAGTGAGGGCAAGAGGGGGCGCCCTCTTGGCGCCAACCCTATCCCTTCTATTCCCAGGGCACCAGCCCCAAAAGGTGGCCCGGCGTGTGTTCACCAACAGCCGCGAGCGCTGGCGGCAGCAGAACGTGAACGGCGCTTTCGCTGAGCTCAGGAAGCTGCTGCCGACCCACCCGCCCGACCGGAAGCTGAGCAAGAACGAGGTGCTCCGCCTCGCCATGAAGTACATCGGCTTCCTGGTGCGACTGCTGCGAGACCAAGCGGCCGCTCTGGCCGCAGGCCCCGCCCCGCCAGGGCCCCGCAAACGGCCGGCGCACCGAGGCCTAGATGGTGGCGCCCGCCGTGGGCCTTGTCGCCGGGCGGAGGCGGTGGCGCGTCCACAGCCTGTGTCCCCGTCCGGCCCCGACAGCAGCCCCAGTGGGGCGGCCCGGCCCATCAAGACGGAACAGACGGCTGTGAGCCCGGAGGTGCGGTGACCTCTGAGGTGTCGCCTCTAGCCGAGGGGCACTGGGAACTCAGCCCAGGGCCGTCGAGGAATGGGCGGACCACGAACTGGGCCTGCTCTGCAGCGAAGTCTCTCGGAAAGGGACCAGTGAGGACGTCTCCTTCAGGGGAAAGGGCCAAAGGTCTGGAAAGGCGACTGTCGCCCCTTCCCGTCCCCTCACCCTGTAGACCCTTTTATCACCTACCACCCGCTGGAAGTGGCCTTGCCCACATTCCCCTCCCGGAGGTGAGGTCCGGGAACCGACAGGGTAGAGCGGTCATCGGACCCAAGCGGTGCCTCTTTTTTGCTGGCTGGAGTGGAGAGGAATCCCCGAGAAGTTGCGGGGTGGTGGCGGGGAGCCTTCCTCCTCTCTCCGGCGCCCCCTCCCGGAGAATCAAGGATACACACGCCTCGACTGCGTCGGCCGCGCCCCTGGCGCGTGGAAAGGCGCAGATGCCACGCGGTGCGCCACCTCACCCAACCCGACCTGGCCCCGCACGATTGAGTTAACGAAGGCTCAGGCGCTCTTGCTTTTGTTTTTCTTTATTTCTTTATTTCACATACACATTAGCCATTCAATGGAGAAGCCGGAGAGAGTCAGGCAAAGATGGTATAACAGAAGCGCAGTGACGGGGGCGGGGCGGGGCGGGGCGGAGAGGGGACAGACGGGCTGGCTGCCTACTTGCATTCCGCTAGGACACTGAAAACCCAGAAAACAAAACAGACAGTAAACTACCCTTGTTTCTTATGTATCTCAGTGCAGAGACGGGGATGGAGGGCAGAGAGAGGGGGAGACCAGGCTGAAGGAGGAGGAGAGGGGGGACAGGGGACGCTAAGGGGAAGCACACCAAATCCATTAGTACTATATATAGAGATACTCGTATATACTGCGTTTCTTAGCCTAAGAAGAAACTTGTTTGACGGGACGGGCGGCCTTTGCGGTCCGCGATGCTGGTGCTGGTCGGGCGCACGGATCTCCCGGGAGGGGCCGAAGCGGGGCTGGCCCAGGCTGGCTTGCGGAGGAAGGGGGGGCGCCCCGAGGGTGGACAGGTGGGGGGAGCAGAGGTGGGGCTGGGGTGCCCCTCGGGCTCTCGATTGGGGGACGAAAGTTCTCGTGGCTTTATTGCTCCTTTATTTTCTCTCGTGTGGGGGGGTCCGTTCAGCACGGTCGGGGTGGGGAAGTGGTGGGTCGTCTGAGCCACCCGGCCCCTCTGGGACCCAGAGCGCGGCGTCCGCTCCGCCAGCACGGGGGTGAGAACAAGGCACTAGGTCGGCCGGCCAGCGCGGGGGCGGGTGTGTAAGGCAGTCAACGGGGCTGGTTTCGGGGTGGGGTGGGCTGTGTGCGGGGCCGTGTGCGTGCGTGCGTGCGTGCGCGGGCCTGGGCGAATCGACCTGTCAGCTTGGCTGGTCCTGTCCTGGAGCGTGGAGCCTTTCCCCTGCTCCCCGGAGGGCGACGGGGGTGGGAGTAGGGTGGGGTGGAAGGAGTGATGTTGAGTCGGGGGCGCCGAGGAAAGGGTCGGGGAGGAAACTACCAACTTGCTGAGCGCGCTCCTGATAATGCTGGTGAGGGTCAAGTTGGCGTCTGGCTCAAAGAAGGGCGCTCGGGGAGGAGAGGGAGGGAGGGGACCTTTGTTCGTTGGCATTGACCTCTGCGGGGGAGGGGCTGGGGATCCCCGCCGCGCCCCCGTGCCCGGAAGGGGATGGGGCAAGGAGGGGGCGCCGGCCCCGGGGAGGAGGCGCCCGGGGAGACCCGCGGCCAGAGCAGCCTCGCCATCGGGCGCACGCCGCTGTCCCGTTCCGTTAAACTCAACAAAGAAGGGATATGCGTGTTCCTAACAAGTGCAGGATATTTAATTGATTCATAAACTTATGTATAATAGTTTGTGGTTTTTTTTTAAACGTACTTTATAATGTAAGAAGCACCAGGGTTTTTATGTTGAATTATCTTAAAATAATTTTCTCTCGTCCTTTTCCTTTTTGATCTTGTGTTTTTTTAAATGTCGAGGTGTTTTTATTTTTTTAACTCTAAAATGTGAATGTTTCCTTCAGCCCTCCCACCGAAACCGAGAACGAACGACGAAACAAATAAAAACCCCAGATCATCCTTGTCAACGCAGGAAAACGACTTAAAAAAAAAAAAATGAAAACGAACAAAAAAAAAAAAAAAAGGAAAAAACACTCAGCTTTCGTTATCCCCGCGAAGGGCGGGGCAGGCCCGGTTCTTTTAGCGTCCCCAGAGCCGCGAGGACATTACAACAAAAATAGAATTTTTTCTTAACAATCTCTTAACATACAAAGATAGGAAAACTCTCTGATGCATTGCACTTGGTTCAATGAAAAAAAAAGTTCATTTCCCCCATATATATTTTTGTGTTTTTTTTTTTCACTCTTCTAACACGTCCCCACATCTTCTGTCGCCCTCGTCGCCTCTCACCTGCCCCTCACAACGACACTTGGGAACGGAGCGCCCCCCACCCCCCTGCCCACTCAGGCAGTCCCGCCAGCGCGCTCCGTCCTGGCCCAGCTGGCCTGCAGCTTCCGACCTCGCCCG